TCAGTAGCCAATCTCATTAGTTTCTGCTTATCCTTCCTGGGTTTCTTTTTATAGAAATAAGCAGATAGATGTATAATTTCTTCTTTTATTTCTTGCAGAAAAAGTAGCATACTGTTTATATTTGTATGGTTTGCTAGTTCTGTCATAACAAAGTACCACAGTCTGGGAAGCTAGGCAGACATTTATTTTCTCACAGTTCTGGAGGCTGGAAGCACAAGATGAAGGTGTCAGCAGGTTTGGTGTCTTCTGAGGCCTCTCTCCTGGGCTTGTGGACAGCCGTTTTCTCCCTGGGTCTTCGCGTGGTCTTCCCTGTGTCTGCGTCTGTGTCCTAATCTCCTCCTCTTGTAAGAAGACCAGTCATATGGGATAGGGCCCACCCTAAGGACCTGATTGTAACTTAATTACCTCTTTAAAAGCCCTGTCTCCAAATACCATCATGTTCTGAGGTACTGGGGGTTAGGACTTCCACATACGAATTTTGGAGGGACATAACTCAGTCCATAACAATACTTTTTTACATTTTGCTTTTTTCACTTAACAGTATATTTTCTGGAAATCACTTTATGTTAGTTTATGGACATCATTCTCAGTCATTTTATTTTTACAACTGAATAATACTCCATTATGTATGTATACCATAGTTTATTCGTCACATTTCCTTTGTATGGGCATTTGGGTGGTTTCCAATGTTCTGCAATTACTTACAATGCTGTAATGAATAACCTCGTGCGTATGTATTTTTGTGTTGTTGGGATGTATCTTCAGAGTAAATTCCTAGAAGTGGGATTGCATATACAGTTTGTTAGATATTGCCAAATTCCCATTTCTCTCTCATTCTTACTAGAAGTTTGTTGGGCCTTAATTTTCTGTCTGTAATGTCTCTTAACGCTTTTATGTTTTCTCTCTCTTTAAAATCTCTCTAGTGCATTCTGAGTGATTTCCTAGCTCTGTCTTCCAAATTAATAGCTCTCTTTAGCTGTGTCTAATCTTTTGTTTGACCTATTCCTTGAGACTTTAATATAGATAACTGTTTTATATTTTTAGAATTTCTACTTGGTTACAAATCTCTCCCTTATTTTCTCATTTTGTTCGCTTCTTTCATTATGGTTTCTATTCCTTTATCTTTTTAATTATTTTAAACATTTTATGATCTCTTTCATATTGTTTTAGTAACACCACATCTTGGGATGTCAGCTCTCCTATTTGTTGCATTTTACCTTATTCCCTTGTATGGCTTATAATTTATTATTGTGATCTCATCGTCAACCCCAGGTTGTTAAAGAATTACACCAGAGTGTCCACCTTCCCTGAAGGTTTCAGGGAAACTTCTGGAGTTCCAATTGTCCTAGATCACCTTTAATCTTAATTTCCTGGCTTGGATTTCTGTACCACAAAGGATTGCCAATTGGGACTCCACACCCAGGTGAAGTGCAAGCCTGGGATTTTAGGTGATCTTAGGTAACCTTTTTTTCTCCTACCATGGACACGGGCGGATGGCATACCCCTTTACGGCTCTTCCAGGGGAGTGGGAAGTTTTCTGAGTCCCCATTTCACTTAAAAGCCTGCTCTTTGAGGCTTCAGGCTCTATCCTGGGTACTGTGCTTCAGTGCTCCACCTTGTGTGGGCTGAGAACACATTTCCTGTCTCCATGTGAGCATTGAAAGCCAAGTCTCCAGCTCCTAGATCCTGTATCTGGGTCTTGACCCCCAGGAATTGCTGTGGCTTTTGCTTACTCTTCTGGCTTTAGGTTTCCTCTGTTTCTGTTTCCTTTGAGCTTGAGCTTGGACATGCTTTTAGAACATCTTGTTGTTTTGCTGTATTTTATCCAGTATTTCTATATGTTTGTCGCAAGGTGGGAGAGCAGGACTTTCATCAACTCCATCTGCTGTATTGCCAAAATTCAAAATGATATGATGGGTAATGACATGTGTTCCCTCCTGTTCACCATAAGGATGATACCAGTGGAGCTGGAGCCCCTGCAGTGGGGGAACAGTGTGATGTGCGGGAAGGATCACCCGCCCAGGACTCAGCAGGGAAGCGAGTTTACACCATGAGTGTACTGCACTTAAAAAAAGTCCTAATGACTTACAGTATATGTCCAGAAACGCACACAGATCATAAGTGTACAGCTTGATGGATTGTTGCAAAGGGACCATACCCACATAATCAGCACCCACATCAAGACACAGCATGATCACACCCCCAGAGCCCTTCTCCTTCTCCCTGCCAGACATTCTTCCCACAAGGAGAGCCACTTGATTGACTTGTAACACCATAAATTAATGTTGCATGCTTTTAGACTTTATATAAGTGGAATCATTCAGTATGTAATATTTGTGTCTGGCTTTTTACACTCAACATTCTGTTTTTAAGATTCCTTTATAAAGTTAGGTGTAATTGAAATTCGTTCATTCTCATTCTGTATAGTGTTTCATTTATTTCTCCATTCTACTGTTGTGGGGCACTTGAGTACTTTTCCAGTTTCAGGCTGTTGTGAATATGCTGCTCTGGACATTCCTGGACGTGTTCTTTGGTGAGCATATGGACATGTTTCTTTTTTTTTGTGAGGAAGATCAGCCCTGAGCTAACATCCAATGCCAATCCTCCTCTTTTTGCTGAGGAAGATTGGCCCTGGGCTAACATCCGTGCCCATCTTCCTCTACTTTATATGGGCCGCTGCCACATATACTTGGTATGTGTGGTATACCATATACTCCAAGGTCATGAAGTAGCCTTCCTCTACTTCATATGGGAAGCCGCCACAGCATAGCCAGAGAAGCGGTGCGTCGTTTTTCTTTTCCACTGGGGTATCCAGTTGGCCAGCACCTGTGACGAATAAGTCCTTTTCTTTTAATCCTCACGGTCAGCGCAGGGTGTTAGCACCAATCCCCACACTTTTAGATGGGGAAACTGAGACTCAGAGAGGTGTGGTGTTTTGCTAAGTATCACAGAGTATCACAGAGCTGATAAATGGCAGAACCATTCAAATCCTGATTTGCACCCAGATTTACTTGATTTCAAAGCCAGGGCTTTTTTCTCTCGTGCCACTCACGCTCAGTTCCCACCGATAAAATAATTAGTATGAAATATATGGCCATCAGACTCTCCCAGAACTGACATTGTGGGTCTGTGGGCTTAAGCCAGGCAGACATATGGACCTAGGAAAAGGTGGGGCACACACATGTGGTGGAGCACAGGGCTGTGGCATGAGGGGAGGCACTGCCTGTGGCAGGAGAGTGCTGCTTTTCTTTTTGTGAGGAAGATCAGCCCTGAGCTAACATCCATGCTAATCCTCCTCTTTCTGCTGAGGAAGACGGGCCCTGAGCTAACATCTATTGCCAATCCTCCTCCTTTTTTTTCCCCAAAGCCCCAGTAGATAGTTGTATGTCATAGCTGCACATCCTTCTAGCTGCTGTATGTGGGACGCGGCCTCAGCATGGCGGGAGAAGCGGTGCATCCGTGCACGCTTGGGATCCAAACCCGGGCCGCCAGTAGCGGAGCGCGGGCACTTAACCGCTAAGCCACGGGGCCGGCCCAGGAGAGTGCTTCTTTTGCAAGCAGTGGGGCCGCATGCACCGTGCTCAGGCAGGTGTGGGTGTGCACCCCTTCCCTACACACATGCATGCACACATGCTTGCATGTATGCACGCACACATGCATGTGAAGAAGGTAAGAACCATTTCAGGAACTAAGGCTTTCCTAGCTGCATGTGGCTATTACCAGGTACCTGTCTTCTTCCAGATTTAGAACTGAATTGGCTTTCTCTTAGGCCAGTTAAGTGCCAAGACTTAAGCCTGTGCCTGGCACTTGCCATGGTAACCAGGAACAGAGGCCCAGCACTTCAGTCACCCTGGTGGCCTTTAGGTTGGCATGAGAACCAGGGAAGGCTCATTAGCTTGGGCTCTAGCAGAAAAGAGACTAGGAGTGTCAAGGAATCCACTGGGGTAGCCTGGTGATGCCTGGGCCTTACGTGCAGCCCTGACTTGCAGCTGCACAGAGAGAGCTGAGCAGCTGGGAGAGCAGTGTCCTGCTGGGAGCAGGGGATTGGTGACTTCCCAGGTACAGGAGGGAGAAGGCTGCTGGAGAGGAGCCGGGTCGGAGGTGGAGGAAGATGGGGAGCAGCAACAGGGCCAAGGGCGTGTCTCTTCCCAGATGGAGCGAGGTAGGGACAGTGGCAGGCTGTGAGCCAGAGGGAGCATCCTGGCCCCTACCTAGGCTCCTGACACTCATTGAGTTCCTGTCCAGTGCCAGTGTCTTGTTTTTGTTTTTAAATTATATAATTACATATACAGAAGGTCAGGAAAATCTAAACAGTACAAGACAGTGTCAGATGAGAAAGAAGTCTCCTTACACCCCTTCCCACGCTCCCAGGCCTGCTTCCGGGGGTCAGCGTGTTACCCCTCTGTGTTTTAGTTCTTCTGGTCACCACTAGCACCATTAGAGTACTCAGACTTGACTCCCCAACTTTGGGCCGTATCTCTGCAGTGACAGGCAAGAGATGAGCGCGGTTAGACTGCTTTCCACCTCTCCTCCTTGGACATCTTTTGGTCCATTACCCGCCCCCCCGTATATTCATCCCGTGCACTATACACTTGAACACTCAGGCATGATGACCAGTCTTCAGTAGTCTTTCACACTCTCCACACTCGCTTCCTGGACTTGCCATTGTATGTGGGCGTATCTGTCCTCCCAGCTCAACTGTGAGTGTCCCTGGGCAGGCCCCACGCCCTTCTCATGGTGAGAGGCCAGGGCAGGAAGGAGCACCTGGATGCCTGCAGGGAACAAGTGGATGTGTATCTTGGCGTTCCCGCAGTGCTGCCCAAGGCCAAGCTCACAGCTCTCGAGCGGTCCTCAGAGCTACCAGAGCAGCCCCACTCTGAGCCAGATGGCCTTTCCCAGCGTTTGGCTGCTGGGCAGAGGTTGGAATGGAGGCTAGGTCTAGAGACAGGGAGTCAGTAGAGCCCTCTCCTGAGCATGAGGCTCTCTTTCTGCCCTTGTAGGAGGTGTTCCGGCAGCACCGGGGGCTGCAGCTCCTGGCCCTGGTGGAGGAGGTGCTGCCCCGCCACGGCAGCAGCCGCCATGGGGACTGGCACATCTCCCTGAGCAAGCCCAGCGAGAAGGAGCAGCACCTTCTAATGACCTTAGTGGGCGAGCAGGGTGAGCAGGGACCACGCACCCGAGGGGGAGTGTTGGCGTGTCTGCAGGGGGCCCAGGAAGGGAGCGAGTGGGAGGCAGTGCTAAATCAGCCACGTTTCCAGGGGGCCGTGCGAGGTCTCCCTCGGAGCCATGGGGAAGTGTGCAGATAGGGCTTTTGGACGTGGAATTCTCGGGTAGCAGGATGAGGTACTGGTCAGAGGCCCTAGTTTAGGGTCAGGGAGTACAGACAAGCTTGGGTTCTGGAGAAGGGGAGGAAGGTGTGAACATTGGGAACGGGAGGGGGAAGAGGTGTGGTTTCAGCACAGGTTCTTGAGATGGGCACTGTACACTGTGTGGTGGATGGAGCGGAGCAGAGTGCAGTGGTGTGGGGCTGAGGAAGTGACCACCAGTGTCACACCTGTCACACAGTGGGCATTCACTAAATACTTTTCAATAAGTCAGTCAGTAGGGAGCAAGTATAGGAGAGAGTGGGAGTTTTTGCGGCACAAGGTCTGTGGGTGGTCAGGAGCCAGGGAGCGAGACTCTGGAAGCTCCGGCCAATGCTGTCTGAGGGGCCAGGGCCCGCAGTGGCCAAGGCTGTGCTAACAATGGTGTCTCCCCCCAGGAGTAGTGCCCACTCAAGACGTCCTTTCCATGCTGGCTGACATCCGCAGGAGTCTGGTGGAGGTAAGAGCACGGGGACATGCTCTCACTCCTTCAAGCTCGGGGAGGTGGCCTGCACCATGGGGTGCATGCAGCAAAAGACGGACTCATGCTCTGGGCAGTGCCTCTTTTCAGTCTCCTAAGACACAGTTACCTTGGGAGAGATGGAATGTGTGAGCACTTAACTACCAACTGCAGAGTACACGCGATGGCCAGGGGTAGAAGGCCGCAGAGGGGGTGGTGGTCAGGGGAGGCCTCAGAGGGGAGGGGACCTCTGAGGGGGATCTTGATGGGTAGGTGGGAATTTTCTGGGCAGACAGTGGGATTGTGCAGAAGCCTGGTGGAATGGGAGAGCGTGATGCAGTTCCAGAAACCACAAGAGAAAGCACGAGGGGCGTGGGAATGCTTCGGAAACCATCAACTAGGCAACTCCCGACGGGAGTTGGTCAGCGTTCGGCCAGCCAGCTGGGGGCCCACTGTGGGGTGAGGGATGGGGCTCAGGGCACAGGAGACAGCCCTGCCATCTTGAGAGGTACCCCTGAGCCAGTGCGGTCGGCTGGCTGCCTCACTGGTCCTGGAGACCTGGGCTGAGGACACAGGCTGGCCAACCCCTCCTCCTGTGCAGCCTGCCGTATCTGTGCCCCTTGGTCCTCCCGCTCCTCATTCCACCTTCCCTGAAGGGGTGCACCTACAGTTCCTCACCTCCCTTCTTGAGGACAGCCACCAAAACCACTTTCACTCACTATAAAACCCAATGGCCTGTCATCAGTCCTCTTCCTTCTCAAGGGCTCTGCATTATTTGACAGCAAAGAGGAGCTGTGCATGACTGGGCCCTGCCTCCTTATCTAGTACGTGCAACGCGGAGAGGTGGTTTGTTTTTGATAAGCATATTGCATGCTTACCGAGTGCCAGACTGCGCTGGGTTCTCACTGGGCCCTTCCTGCCACCCGAGGGGTTGTGAGCATTAAATAAGGCACCCTACTGAGTACTGTTGGTTCCCCATTTAAGATGAGAGCTGAAGCCTAGAGAAGGGAAGTGGCGTGCCTGAGATTGCACAGCTAGTAGTGGTGAAGCCAGGCTTGGGACCAGGCCTGAGTGATTCAGGAGCCTGGGCTTTTCACCGTGGTGCTGTATCTACACTGCCCAGGTGGCCGGAGGCCATTTCAGTTGTGAAATTCCGGGTTCATGAACACTGGGGGGCTGGTAGAAACTTGGGCCGGCCGTGACCTTTTTTTACAGATCCTCCTGTCTCTTCTGGCCCTGGTTATCTGGCTTTACTGGACACTTCATTCAGACTGACTTGACCAAAAGGCATGCTGGGCCTTTGGAAGTATATTAGTGGGCAAATTTAGCAGGTTCATTGGTGGGTGAATCTAGCAAGAAAACCTGACCCTTGATAACTTAAAAAGTCAATAGAGAAAAGTACTGGAAATATACAGGTGGTTCACAGAAACCAAGGAAGAGCTGAATACCTGGCCTTAGAAAGGGGGCCCAAGGCAGAAAGGGGGCTCCCAAGTCTCTGCACTGGGAGCCAGTAGACAGCACCTTCACCCTGGCACCTGTCATCTGATGAGGATGGCACCTCACCTTCCTCACTCCCCTCTGCCTGAGATGCTACTTTGTGAGGAGAGCATCTGCCAGGCCCGGTAGCGGCATAGCAGCCTCTTGGCCAGAGAAGGCAGACCCACAAGACAGCCTGCAGTGTGGGAGGGCGCTGGGTCGCTGAACACCATTGGTGACAGCTCCAGTGGTAAAAGGGAGGAAGCTAGGAGGCTGGGGGTGGCCCACGATGTGGGCCGTCCCCAAGACCCCCTGCACTGCCTCTGGCCCACAACGGCCAGAATAGCGCCACCCCTGAAGCGGCAGCTGTGTTTCCGGGGCCTGATTCATGTGCTGTGCGGGGGAGGATGTGTAGAGAAGGTATCCCAGCTGCCCTTTTCTTCTTTTTTTGACTGGTGGGGACTCTATCTAGTTTGGATGGTGACTGGCAGCAGGAGGCCAGACTCAGTGGGGAGTTAGGGCCACAACCAGGTGGGTATAGAGCCAGACTTCTGCCCCAGCAGGGTCAGGGCCAGGGCAGAGCCATGGTGGGGATGTGAGGGGAGGCCAGGAATGGAGGTGTGGGGTGGAGAGGGTTGGAGTTGCCCTCAGGTGAACAGGATGAGGGTAGGGCAGAGAGAGTCCCTGAAGAGCACAGGTCCAGGCCTCTGAGACAGCCTCAGGAGCCAAGTGTGCCAGCTCCTTCTCAAAGCCTGTCCTTGTCCCTGAGCCCCAACCCCACAGGCCCCCTGGGGAGCCTTGGCGCCCCAGGACCTCAGCTGAGGAGCGTGGCCCCTCCTGCCCCCCTAGATTGGCATCCAGAACTACTCCACAACAAGCAGCTGCCAGGCACGGGCAAGCCAGGTGCGCAGCGACTATGGGACGCTCTTTGTGGTGCTGGTGGTCATTGGCGCCATCTGTGTCATCATCATTGTGCTGGGCCTGCTCTACAACTGCTGGCAGCGCCGGCTGCCCAAGCTCAAACATGTGGTGAGTGTGGGGGCAGGTCGGGCAAGGGGTCCTGGGCTGGGGGTGGTGCCAGTGGAGAAGGCAGTGCCCAGCACGCTCAGTCATCTGGAGACTCAGTGTCCTCATCTGCAGGTGGAGTGGCAGGAATTGTCCTGGGATGGAGTACTGCAGGTGAAGCCAGTTGTGCGGGGCCTGCCCTGGAGTTGCCCCTCCCTGCAGGGTGCTGGCCCCATGATAGGTGATGGAGGCAGGGGACTGGGATGCTGGCCCCACCCACAGGGGCCCTCCATGGCACCAGCTCCTCCTGGAATCATCTGGATGTCTCCCTGGAGACAGGCCCTGGGTTGATGGTCCCCAGGGGTTAAGATGAGGCTCCAGCGGCCTGAAGGCTCCTCCCAAAGGAGGGGGCAGGGCACAGCTGCCACGTTTCCTGGGAGTCTCCTGGAGTCTCTTTGTAAGGGGGCTGTTGGGAGGGATCAGAGATATCAGGGGGGCCACAGGGTTGTTGAGTGCAAAGGATCAGGAGAATTATTTTAAGCAAGGAGTTGAGCTGTGGGAACAGAACAGCAGGGCACTGCCATCTGTGGAGGGTCCCCTGGGGATTCCCTGTGTAAGGTTTTACAGACTAGGGAAGGAACAATGAAGTGACTCCCTCAAGGTCAAGGGCACAGGCCGGTCAAGCGGGCGCGTGCTTGCAAGCTGTTGGGGCTGGTGGGGGCCGGCCGGCGGCGCTCGCCCAGCGGCCCTCTCCCACCGCCGCAGTCGCACGGCGAGGAGCTGCGCTTCGTGGAGAACGGCTGCCACGACAACCCCACGCTGGACGTGGCCAGCGACAGCCAGTCGGAGATGCAGGAGAAGCAGCCCAGCCTGAACGGAGGCGGGGCCGTCAACGGCCCGGGGGGCTGGAGCGCGCTCACGGGGGGCAAGCGGGACCCCGAGGACTCGGACGTGTTCGAGGAGGACACGCACCTGTGAGGGCGCGCCCCCCCCACCCCCCCACCGCCTGGCGGCTCCGGGCCGCTGCGACCCCGCGGCCTCGCCTTCGCCGCGCCGGGAGGAGCAGGACGGCCCGGAGCGGACGGCCGCTCCCCCGCAGTCCCGCCCTCGGTGCGGGGTCCCCCCCGCTTCCTAACGACTCGCAGAACAGTCGCACAGCCCTCCCCTCTCCCACCCGACGCCCCGAAGGGCCGGTGCTCTCGCGCCCCGGGACCCCCATTAAAGCCGCCCGGAGCCACGCCGGGCTCAGCCCGTCCGCCTGCCCGACTCGTTCTTGCTCGGGCGCCGAGGTGGGGGGGCGCGGGAGGCGGCGCGGCCGGGTCTTCCGGGCGCCAGGCGCCGCTGTCGGGCGGGGCGGGGCCGCGCGTGTTTACATCCGGCCGGAGCGCGCCGCCGGAGGTCGTGCGGCCCGGGCCCGAGCCGTCCGCGCCATGGACACCAGCGACCTCTTCGCCAGCTGCAGGAAGGGGGACGTGGGCCGAGTGCGGTGAGGACCCCGCAGCTCCGGGGGGCGCGGGAGGGGCACCCTGGGAGCGCTCCGGCCCCGGCTGTTTCGGCCCCGGCGCCCGACGCACCGCAGATGCCCGACAGGCGCCCGGGCGGCGCCGGTGGCCACGGCAGCCTTCCGAAGGGGGCCGCGGCGGGGAAGGGGCGCTGGCGGTGATTTCCTCCCGGGGTCCGGGGGGCTTTCCGGAGAAGAGGACTGCTCCGCGAAGGCTGGAGAAGAAGTGGGCGGAGAGAAGAGGAGGGTCTTTCTCTGAATGCTCGGGGCCGAGAGGCCGGCCTCCCGGCGCGGCCTCTGTCTCTGATGCGCTCTGGACCTGCCGCTGGGAACACCTAGAGCCCACAATCGGCCTCTGGTTCCCGGGGATTCGGAAACTCCTAAACGCAGTGAAGCAAACCTGGCGCTGAAATCGGCAACTGTGTGGGCCAGACGGGAAGGGAGGGTGTGCCCTTTTGGGACGTGGGGTGCCTTTCCTCCGTGGCTGTTCCTTCCCATATTCCCTAGTCTTGACCCACCACTCGGACCTCTCCTGGGCTAGTCCCAGGCTTCCTTACTCCCACAGCTTCCTTGGGTCCTTTCCCAGCATCAGGTGCCACCTCGGAGTTAGTTGATAACCCCCAAAGCGGAATGCTACTTAGCACTCCCGCGTGCAACGTGGACGGCTTCACCACCATCCATGATGACCCCCCTCATCTCCCACTTCCCGTCAGCTATCATGTGTCCTGACTTATGCCTTCTGGAATCGGTCCACTTCTCTTCACCCTTCCACACCCTCAGGATGCCCGCAGCAGCCTCCTCCTTGGTCTCCCTACCTCCAGTCTGCCCCAGCCAACCTGCTGCCCCTAGCAGCCGGCGGACTCTCGCAGAAGCAGAGGCGGAATCACCTCCTCCTGCTCCTCCCTCCCGAATGCTTTCAGGCCAGAGGCTCAGCCTCTTCAGCTCTGGGCCTGGCCTCTGATGCTCGTGGCGGCCTTATGCCCCCTCCACACCCTGTCTGCGCTCTGCTTTTGTGTGGAATGCCTTTCCTGCTCTGGGCTGCCTGTCCCCTGCCCTCACCTGGGGGAGGCTTCTTTCAGCCAAAAGGGGTGTCTTTCCTCCTTCCCCTTCTATGGGTCTCCTCTCCTAGACTGTGAACCTCTCCTGACCCGGGCTCTGACCTTCTCCCTGCCCAGGTACCTGCTGGAGCAGCGAGACGTGGAGGTGAATGTACGGGATAAGTGGGACAGCACCCCCTTGTGAGTGCCAGGCGGGTGGGTGGGCAGGGTGGGTGGGCTGGATCCTCCAGTCCTGACCACTGCTTCCCAGTACTCCTTCCTTCCCTCCCCCAGGTACTATGCCTGCCTTTGTGGGCACGAGGAGCTGGTACTCTACCTTCTGGCCAATGGTGAGAGGAGGGGCAGGGGTGGTGTGTGTGCACGTGTGCGTGGCTCAGCGGCTTGTCCGCGTTTGCAGGCAGCCTTGAGTCCTCTCTTGCCCTCACCCTACACCCAATCAGCAGGCACTGTCAGCTCTACTTGCAGAACCCATTCTCTGCTCTGTCCACTTCTCCATCTCCACTGCCACCACCCAGCCCAGCTCCAGCATCTCTCCCTGGGTGCAGTGCCAGCCCCTTCTCTGGTCTTGTGGCTGTCCCTTTTGCCCCACGACAGTCTGTTCTCCATGTTGCAGCCAGGTGGTCCTCACAAGAAGTCTGATCTGCTTAAAATCCTCCAGCGACTTCCCACTGCATTTAGCATAGAACCAGAATGGCTTGCCGTGCTAGTGAGCTTCTGCATGATCTCCTCCTTCCCTTCTGGCCTCGCCTCCTTTGGCTGTCCCGTGTGCTCACTGTTCCAGCCACACTGGCCTCTCCTGTGGCTCTCCAGCACTCCAACTTTGCTCCTGCCTCAGGGCCTTTGCACTTGCTGTTCCTCCAGCTTAGACTGGTCTTTCCCAGCTCTGTGCTTGGCCAACTCCCTCACTTCATTCAGGTCTCTGCACATTGTCACTGCCACAGTGACTTTCCATGACCTCCCTGTGTGGCAGCCACGACCACTGTCACTCTTTGTTTTGTTTTCTTCATAGCACCTGACATTCAAACAGTTAGGCTGTTTATTGTCCTTCTGCCCCACCGGAGTTTCAGTTCAGTGAGGCCAGAGACTTGTCTGTCTGTTTATGGCGGTGTCCCTGATGCATAGAACAGGGCCAGCCTCGAGCCTGCTGTTCTGTGTAGTCTGTGGTATGTGTGAGTGAATATGTATGTGTGTGAGTGTACACAGGTGTGCCTAGGCCCTGGCAGGGAGGATGCTGGGGTCAGAGAGGGCCCAGGGTTTGGGAAGGGGTTTCCAGGGCTTACGGGCGCCATGTGTGGGGAGCGGGGACGGAGATCAGGATTTCCAGCAGGTCCCTCCCCAGCTGCAGTGTCCAGCCCGAGGGCCCTGCTGACTGGGGAGCCCTGCTGCCCCCAGGAGCCCGCTGCGAGGCCAACACCTTCGATGGCGAGCGCTGCCTCTATGGGGCGCTGAGTGATGCCATCCGCCGGGCCCTGCGAGATTACAAGCAGGTGACAGCCTCCTGCAGGAGGCGGGATTACTACGATGACTTCCTGCAGCGGTGAGATGAAGCGCAGTGTGCAGGGGACCGCACAGCCTGGTGCCCAGTGGGTCTGCGGGGAGTGTGGCCTGCATGGGACTGAGGGCTCTCCTGCTGGGGTGGGATGGGGGACCGGAGTGCTGAGACTGAGGGGAGGAGCTCTTCTGAGCACCCCCTCCACCTGCCCCTCCCCAGGCTTCTGGAGCAGGGCCTCCATAGCGACGTGGTCTTCGTGGTGCACGGGAAGCCCTTCCGGGCGCATCGCTGCATCCTGGGTGCACGAAGTGCCTACTTTGCTAACATGCTGGACACCAAATGGAAGGGCAAGAGTGTTGTGATCCTCAGGCACCCCCTGGTCTGTCCCTCCCTGGGGGTGGGGACTGAGGGACAGCAGGGGGCTTGTGCTGGGCCGCTGCCTCTGATCTTACCTCCCTGCTGTCTCTGCCCACAGATCAACCCTGTGGCTTTTGGGGCCCTGCTGCAGTACCTGTACACAGGTGACCCCCAGGCCCGGGTGGGGTGGACAGGGAGGGGCTACGTTTCTGTCCAGCAGAAGACCCAGGTGTAGCCTCGGGCCAGCCTTTTACCAAGGGTGCTTCGTCTGTTCCAGCTGCCTCCTGGGTTGGGTTGTGAGACAGTGAACTGGTGTGTCTGCTAAGGAAGAGTTTTCCCACCTACAAACTGAGCACTGTCTCTTCTGTCCTGGGGCCTGTAGAATTCAGGCAGTGGCTCGTGATGGGGAAACCAAGGCAGCAAGTAGGCCCAGGAGTCCCAGCCCTGCAGCCAAGTGGCTGGCTGGGAAGGACCACCTTCTAGGAGACTCTGTGCTTGGGGACAGCTGAGGACCCCTATCAGACCCTGAACCTCCCATACTGCACCCAGGCCGCCTAGACATTGGCGTGGAGCACGTCAGTGACTGCGAGCGCCTGGCCAAGCAGTGCCAGCTGTGGGACCTGCTCAGCGACTTGGAGGCCAAGTGCGAGAAGGTGTCCGAGTTCGGTGCGTCCAGGCTTCGGGGGTCCAGGGCCTTGGATGGGAACTGGCAGGGCAGGGCCAACCTGACTCCTGAAGCTGCACTCTCCCCTCTGCAGTGGCATCCAAGCCAGGCACGTGCGTGAAGGTGCTGACCATTGAGCCCCCCCCAGCAGACCCCCGGCTCCGGGAGGACATGGCCCTGCTGGCCGACTGCGCCCTGCCCCCTGAGCTCCGCGTAAGCGCACGGCTGCCTGGGGCTGGGCCTGGTGGGCAGGAGGGGTGTCTGGGGACAGGCTATGATAGGCGAGCCCTGCACACTTGGGTTCAGTTCCTTGTTGTGACCTGGAGCCAGTCCCTTCTGTTTCCTGAGCTTGGTGGCTTACTTTTTTTGTTGTCTGTCTTGTATTGAAATCTGCAGATGGGGCAGCGGTCCACCCCTCCTGCATCAAGCTAGAATAGGGTTTTGGTGGGGCCAGCCGCTCTCCCCTCTCCTGCCTGCCCTGATGGCACCTCCTCTCCTGTCCCCAGGGTGACCTTGGGGAGCTGCCCTTCCCTTGCCCCGACGGCTTCAACAGCTGTCCTGACGTCTGCTTCCAGGTCGACGGCTGCAGCTTCCTCTGCCACAAGGTGCCGTCCCCTCCCCCGGTCCCTGGCTCCCTCCCATAAGTCCCTGGTCAGCTCCTCTGGGCACAAGCCCTGGCCCTCGCCCTTCCTGAGCCCAGCCTTCCCCAGGCCTTCTTCTGCGGCCGCAGTGACTACTTCCGGGCCCTGCTGGATGACCACTTTCGGGAGAATGAGGAGCTGGAGGCCTCAGGCGGCCTCCCGGCCATCACCCTGCACGGCATCTCGCCCGACATCTTCACCCACATACTCTACTACATGTACAGCGACCACACAGAGGTGCGGCACTCAGGTGCGCTGTGTGCACCTGGCGGGG